TCGTAAACCTCGGGGTACCTGCCGGAGTTGTTCGGGAGTCTGCTTCCTAAGCAAGCTACCAGACAGTTTCGTGCATGCTTTTAGGCACTCTTTGAATTTACGTCCAACTATCTCTTGTGCCCGTCCAAACAAAAGCCCTGCTGAATGTTGGGTCATGTTATGACCACATATCACAAGAAACATCGCCACAGTTTCTTCTACAGATATGTTTTTTGTGCATTTTATTCCATACTCTGTACGTAATATCTCACATAGCCGTGTGAACACCTTGATGCGCATTCTCAAGAGATGTAAGCAATCTCTTGGATAGTTGTAAATCCTTGTCTGAATGTTGCACCATCCTAATCCCCATTCAGTCCCCATTGGTTGTCGACGATAATACTTGTTATARTAATCTATAACAGGCCGAAAGAGTGTTTCCATGATATCCATGTACTCAAGACAAATTAGCTCAAGTAACTCATCTTMTGTGAGATTATGTAATCCGCGCGAATGTAACTCGATAATGCGAGAAACCTGAACATAAAAAAACTTCATTAAAGAACACATTAAAAATTACATAACATGATACAGTTTAAGTAAACGAAAGATAACTAATATATTGTACATTAAACAAGTAAATTAAAATAGTTATTCATTTAGATTTCGCCATCATTATCATTGTTTCCAACTGAGCGATTAAAGTCGGACAAATTAAAACGTTCGAGTAACTCGGCTGCAGACGCAGGTCTAAACGCCAAACCTTCACCAGAGACAACCCTAGGATTTGGAGATACATTAACTTCTGGGTTAGAGTTTGGAACTTGAAATCCGTGTCTTGATCTGAATTGGTTTGGCGAGCCAGAACCACCAAAATGTGAAAAACCAGCACCACCCATAGTATTTGAAAAACCAGCGCCACCCAGATTCGAAGTCCCTCCAATGTTTGTAAAGCCAGCACCACCCAGATTTGAAGTCCCTCCAATGTTTGTAAAGCCAGCACCACCAAATTGGGCAAATCCTCCTACGCCTGGAGAACCTGATCCGCTACCAACGGATCCTCTACTACTTGGTCCACTCGAACCACTGAGTTGACGTTTCCATGGACTACCACGAAATGTACCAGACCGATCGTAACCTGTCAACCCTTCTAGAAAACGAATTCTTTCTTCATTATTTTTGAGTAACACAAACCTTTTTTGTTCAGACGGATCTCTCAAAATTTCTGATGATGCCCACCAAAAATCTGTAAATTTCTCTATGTCTTCTAGTTCATTCAACTTTAACCAAGATTCACGCTCATAATCTTCGGCCGTTTGGTTTCGTGCATTGAGCATCTGGATTGGAGCTTGCATAGTTGCAAGATATGACTCGATATTCGTTAAATGTGTATCCATAACTGCTTTATTCTGCAACTTTTTTTTTTCTTCACAAATTCATTGATTTGTGTCGGTTATACAACT